AAATCGTGTCCGCCATCTTGGATTTACAAATAAGTGCTATATTCGTTTTTCATCGACAAAACCGAGCATATCTGTAGGCACCTGATCGACAATGTCGGGCAAATCTGTAGGCACCTTTAACTTAATGATGAGTTAAGCAAGATACAATTTCCCCACTTTTGAGGGAAATGTTATTCCATGGCATCATTATTTGTATATTTGTGTGCGTGCCGACGAGCGTAGTTACAAGTTGATTACGCCTACATGAATTTGGTTTTTGCCTCACTTGTGACAGTTCGTTTGATATGAAACTATCATTCTATGCGTTATTATTCTAAGTGTTTCAATGCCTAATTCTGTACAGTTACATACCCCGCTTTATCTATACACGCATTATAACCTCTCCAAGATGTGTTCAGGAACCGCGCGTTACGACCGGCACTGCGGCGTCGATCAGAGCTATTAGTAGTAATTATTACTAAAATAATGCAAAAAAACTTATTTTTCACGCATGTCGCGCAATCTTAGTTTTTTATAATTCATAAACAAACTAAAGTCGATCCCGACTATCGTATCGTTCGACATCTAGTAACTTGTGAAATTGTTTGCTGTTGACACTCCGTTTCGAATAAAACTTCATCCCGACTGATATTAAAATTTCGAGGTCGACCACCAAATTGTTTTATTTTTCAGAGATACTCCGAATTTGAGTGTAATTATAAAACCGAGTTTCATGACAATATTAGGCAATACGGTCGTGCCAAGATAGCATTCTCTTTTTGACAGATAGTTTAAGAGTCGCAACACATCCACTCAGTATCGTTAACACTAGTATGGTACTAGTTACTAATATACTATAATAATTGAGTAGTATTCATACCAACCTGAGATCACTAAAAATTGCGCCAAGGCTGAAGTCAAGAGGAAAATTTTAAAAGCAAGAATATTACATACGAAATGAAATATCCGAATGGTCTGCGTATGCTTATTGTACACAACCAAAGTCATCATCTGTATCTTTTTCACACGAGCTGGAGCTGAATTCACTTAAATTTACAATGCTTTGTATCTTCTATGGATTGTCAAAATGTACATCTCTCAACCAGTCTGAATTAATTTCATTTCTTATTTTCTCTACAATGTCTGGTTACTTAAATAATTTGTTAGTATTTTTTTCGGCGAAATTAACATTTAGTTGTAAATATCACAAGTATATTAGATTTGATATTGTGCATTCATAAGAATTTTCGTTAATGACAACACTTAACAACTTAATTTCTGGGGACATTTCTACCATGCTACGTAATTTATCTAATCACATAAAAGTACTATCCAATAGGATTGGAATTGGCTTGGGACATCGATAGATTAAAAAAAAACTATTTATTTAACCGAAATAAAAACATTGTTAATGTTCACAAAGGATATAAATTATATAATTAATCGTTTCCTATTTGGACAAGTATTATTAAGATACGTGCTGTCGCTGTTCACAGCTGTCAAAAAGATGATGCTACGTTGGCTAGACTATAATATCATTTTCACATATCGAGTTCTTAGGTTTTCGCGATTGTTACACATAGGAAATGAAACTATTTTTCCGGATTTAAATCGCGTATATTTGTTTTTTCAAACAAACCGACGTTCCGGGCCCTTTACAGGTCCCATGGTCACGGTTGACATTTGAGTTGATCATTTTCACAGATAAGAAATTTGTTCTCACAAAACAGTTTATCATTATGCTGGTCGTAATTTGCGGTTTTCGAACATATCAAGAGTTTATGATATGCGTGTAAATAAATGAAAATATATTTTGAAATGTTATACGTTGTGCTACGCAAGTCTTAAACCGAAAGCCAAATTGTATATAGTTCGCGCGCAACTAATTGACCGGTGGCCGACTAACCCGCCGCCGTGCGCTGCGGAGGTACGTGTCGCTTTATAAACGTAAAGTTCCACGTCCGCGCCGCTTTCATACTGCCGACGTGGCCGATGAGTTAGTTGCGCGTGTACTATATGCGCGGTAACAAAATAAAAACAAAAATTACCCATTTCTTGAACTGTCGCTAACATTTGCAGTTTCACCCTCTGCGGTCCTGAATACTTCCTTTGCCTAGTGTTGTAATTATTATTGCTGTAATTGGTGTTCGGAACGGGTGTCCCGGCCGTGATGGATCCGCCGGCCGCGGCGCCTTGGCTCAACAGCGTACCCCCCGGGATAGAACCAAAACTGGTCTCAAAATTTCCAAAATTAAAGTTCTGGTTCTCGAAATTGGTGACCGGCGTCCCGGACGTTATGGATCCTTGATGGGAGAACCCGTAATTGCTACTGAAATTATTTTCAAAGCTGGCGTTCATCGGTGTCCCCGAGGCAATGGAACCGGCGCTGGTGAAGTTGTCGAACCCCGCACTCATCGGAGTGCCAGAGGTAATCGACCGACTCGTACTCCCGTTTGGATTGCCATAGTTGGCACCAAAACTTGTATTACTATCAAAACTGGCATTGTTCATTGGAGTACCGGACGTGATAGACCCTTGCGCGTTTACTGGCGTACCGCTAGTTATGGACCCCGGCACCACGGCGGGCACCAAACACTGGGCAGGAGAATAACTACCAATAGGCGACGAATATGTATTCGATTGCGTAATCGGCGTACCGGACGTGATCGAGCCTTTGACACCCATGATTGAACCTTGCGGTATCGTCTCTAAAGTTGGTTTTATTTTTTGGTTTTGTGTGCCGTAGTTTGGCATTCCCTGATTGGATTGATTCTGATTAGATGGTCCAGTGGGGGGTGGACTTTGATATCCCTGGTATGGATTTTGGTATGCCCCCATCGACGGGGGTAGGTAATTCCTCTTCATGCGAGCCTCAACTTCCATCACTAATTCTGGACTTATGACTAAATTTTTTTAATAATATGTAAGAAAAAAAAAAACAAAAATTAGCAAAATAAAAAAACAACGCAGATGCAATAATAAAGTATGTATTTTTAATTAGCAACATGCGGAACAATTGCTAGAAATTCTACAATAGATATCAAAAACGTAATTGCACTTATTTGGTAATGATGAAAACTTTTTGTTTTTCAAGTTAAGCCTAATATAAAACGGGCACTAAAACAAAACTACTTTTTCGTCATTACCACAATCAATAAAATTTAAGCAGTGAAATAACAGTTTCGACAACTAATTACTTTAAAAACAAAACAAATATAGCAAAAACAGTCAGTCTGTCAGTCCATGCTAAAGTGCAAAAAAGTAGGTTAAGTAACACTTTACTCCATAATTTTGAAACACCATTACAAATTGTGTGTGTTTTTTGTTTCACTTACCTGGTGGTCTTTCTGTAACAGTAAGGAGACCTGTTCTCCTAACTCGGATATTCGCTGATGATGAGGGAGACGTGTTTGGCTGCGGAAGATACAAAGTAAAAACAAACCCACAAAGTAAGATTACGGCAGTGTAAATACACTGTTTCTTTTCAAATTTCAAAAAATTTAGCTTAGATAATTTTGCTTCTATTTTTTTTTACTGTTCATAGATTGAATTCGGCGACTGTAACGGTTCACCTTTCGCTTTTCAGTATTTACGCAAACTCACCATGTTGTTGCTGGGCAACGTGCTGGCTGCGTTCGCGGCTTCTTCGGGCGTCGCCATCGTGTGTCGTTTACTGCTGCCACGGTTCAACATGTACCTGCGACAATCGCATGCAAAATTTTGGACTTTTAACGAATTGAATACGAAATACAAACGTTACTTATTGCACTCTTTCTTCTGCGTAATTGCGCGTGACGTATACGACGATTGATCCGTATTTTTTTAACTTTCCGACTCGGCTTCAACGTGCGAAAGGTTACTTTCAATGGAGCCACGTTTCCGGTCGTTTTTGTCCAATTTAACGCCTTCCATTGAGTACCTGCACGGTGACGTCGGGCAACGCACCTGCACAGGTTGCTATTGTAGGAGGAGTCGGCTGCCTGGTCCTCCGCCGGGTCGCCGTCGTCGGGCTGCGCCGAGGGCCCGCCGTCCGAGATCTGGGGACACGCGCTGAGACTCAGAGGGAGGCCGGCGGGAGGGCGGGGAGGGAGGGAGGGAGGGGCGACTCACGTGGTGGGCGGGCGCCGAGTGGCAGCAGGCGCGCTCGCGGCCGCGCGACACGTGCGCGCCGCCGTCCGACGCGCGGCGCCCGAACGACGACGCTGCAACGCACGGGCCACGGGTCAGTTCGGGTCACTTCGGGCCGGCCGGGGCTCCGGCCGCGGCCGCCCGCTGGCCTACCTTGGCTCTGCATGGCGTGCGGCGGCTTCAGCAGGTGCTGGTCCTTGACGCTGAAGTAGCGCGGCGGCTGGTGCTGCACGGCGGGCAGCTTCGCGGCGAGGTTCGTGTTCGGCAGCATCGACACGTTCGGGGACGTCTGTTGCTGGAACGATGCGATTGCGGGGGTTGTAGGCGCCGTTTTGTTATGTCCAAAGAGCAAAAGTCTACAATTCACGGTTATTCCGAAACCTTTCGAGCTCGAGTATTCGAACGCGTTCTTCTCCACTGACATCGCCGACCCGCGTTGGGGAGTTTACGTGTCTGCGAAGAATTTAGCGAACCGTCTCCGACGTGCACGTTTCGTTACGGTGTGTCGATCCCACTGTACTTACGAACTGCGCAGACACGTACAGCGGCGCCGCGCGCAGGTCCGCCGACGCCGCGCCGCACACGCCCAACTCGCCGCCCTGCGCCGGAAATGCAAACGATCTTCCTTAGACACAATCACAAACCGAATAGACACGAGCGAAGCGCAGCAGACTTACTTTAGCATATACCTTTTTTTATAACATCAAGTGACGGGACGAGCAAGTCGTGCGCCTGATGGTAAGCTACGCGCCTGTCCATAACAGTTACAATGCCACTCAGAGCTTTAAATTGCAAAGATCTGAGGGGCACTACCGCTGCGCCCGTCACCCTAAGACATAAGTTGACAAGACCCATATGCCTGTAATTTCACCAGCACCCTTACCCGTCAAAACCGGAACACAGTAATGCTGGCATTACTGCTTGGCGGCAGAAATAAATAAGGTGGCAATGCTTCTCTGGACGAACTCTTTCACGAGGAGCTCTACTGCTAGTAAAATCTCACTACTAGTAAACAGTTCCGTGTATAATTTATTATTGCCGCCTTTACTTATAAGCACATATCACTACCATCTTACTAATACTTTTAAACCGTTATAAAGTAGCTTCACCAGCAACTCCTACACTTTTTGTTTTTTTTTCTTTGATTCTTTTAAATCAAACCTTAAACCGCTCTCTTGAATGACAATAATTGAACTTCTATATCAAACACTTAAATCCACATTTTTAATTTCACTTCTAACAGGATGGTAATGATATTGGTCACGACGACGATAATATTAAATATCATTATATGTTTTAAAAAGGATAAAAAGCTGGTAACGAAAGCCTCGGATGATAATGATGTTTAACTAACCTGTGTATGCCTGCAATCGCCTGGACCGACAGTGTGCCGTCTCGTCGCGTGAGTCTCCGTCTGCGCCTGTGCTGGAGACTGCGTTGTTTCTTCGACAATAGGTGTCGACCCGTCGTTAAACTGCAAATAAAGTTTTAGCTTGTTTTTTGAATATCGTAGTTAAAATGTTTTTAAACTCTAAGCGACCATGATCTGGGTTCATTTATTATTGTTTGAAAGAATAACAATTAATACAAAACATTGATAATTCGATAGCTTCGAACTGACCTTTTCCAAATTATCGACCTTGTCGGCCATGTAGTCGACGTTGACGGTCGGAATGGAGACGAGGCACTCTTGGGACGTCGAGTCCTCCGCTTCCATTTGCTCGTCTTCTGAACTCTGTAATAAAATATTACAAACATATATTAATTAACATTTACTTTTGGTAACTTACACTTGTGAGGTTTAATTCCAAGACTCTTTATGTCACTCGGTGCAATAAAACCTTATCATTCCATAACTGACACCTGAGTTTTCTTGACAGTATATTACGTGCAGTGTCTACTAACCTTACAACTAGTGAGATCCAGGGGCTGTCCTGTCGTTGAATCCAGTGAGTCTGCGAACACGAAACACAATGCCGTCAGGACCCTCCTCAAATGACGAAAAAGAAATAAGCCGTTCTACACAAAATTATCAAAATGTACAGAATCGTTGACCTTACTACGCGATTATATTAATTAGATTGATATAAAGTTTTTATGTACAACCCACAAAGAGACATAGTAAGGAATTGTGGATAACAAGTATTACCTCTGTGCTGCAGACTATTCCTGGCACTACTCCTCTGCTGTAGTTTGTCTTTCAACAAGTGGTAGATCGCGGATATGTGGTCGAACCGCTCTTCTTGTACTGACTGAAAAAAAAAACTCCGCAATTATACAGTGTTTTGGAAATGTACGATAGTAAAATACTGAACTGAAGATTGCATACTGAAGTGGCATATTTTGACGTTTAATTAATACTAAACGGTTTTCAATAATTTGTCGGCCGACGAACACGACACTTACCTGCTGCACTTGGCCCTTGTTGAGCCCGGGCAGCGACAGCATGTGGTTGAGAATGGTGTCGTGGTCGGCGCCGTCGTCTCGCGCCGCGCCGCGCTCGTGGCACGCGCACGCGCCCTCCGACGCGTCTGCGGACAACAGCACAGTTGCGAGAAGGTCGTCAGGCCGGTCGGCGTCCACTCTTCGAGGCGTTTACCGTAATGGCCCGGGCCCGGCCCCGGCTGGTGCGCCGCCAGCCAGCGGTGCTTCGCCACTCCGCGCAGTGACAGACGCTTTTCGGGCTCCACAACCAGCATATGGCGGATCAGGTGCTCGCATTCTGCCAAGAGAATTGGCCGATTATAATACATTTAAAAAACAAACATGAAGCGCTTCAATATAAGAAACTGGTCGAGAGCATTACGATGTGTAATTAGTGTCTGTATCCTTTATCAATTACAATTGAAGTAAAGATTTTTTTCTTGTATAAAGAAAACACCGAATCAATTATCAACAAAATTTCAGTTGTATTTTTCTAAAGGATTGTGAATACGATAATAAAAGTGTCAATATGAAACAATTTTCAAAACGACACGAAAGTGCCAAATCACAATATGTCAAATGATTTCCCAGATAATCTACTATGACAGATTAACGATACACACAACACAAAGGAAACCAAAAATGTTCTGTTTTCCAATTTAGGTACGGATCGCTAGAAATGGTTTTTAGATGATTTGATCCCACACTTCCGTCTGTGTATGTCATCAATAATTAAATAATTTTAAATTACCAATTCTGGTAAATATACCAGAACTGGTAATGACAGAGCAGAAACGGTAATGACAAAAGTACTTGCCCTGTGACATAAAGTACGGTATCCGAAACTTTCCACTGAGCACAACATTACGTAGTTCGTGCAAAGTGCTACCGTCGAACGGGAGTGCGCCGCACACTAACACGTAGAGGACTACGCCCAGTGACTGAAAACGAAATAAGATAAATACAAGAACTTTTTTTAGTTAACTCGAACCGCTACGTCACTTACGTTTAGATGAACAAATACACTGTCATTGAGTTAATCTGATGTATAAACTATAATGATTAAAAAAACATTGGTTTCAAAGTTCTTAAAGCAATATAAATATTCTTTTTATCGTGTTGATGATTCTTTAATTTGAAGACTATATTTTTGCATCAACGAATAATAATTACCCAAATATCAGTCTTGGGCCCGTCGTACTGTCGACCTTCAAACAATTCAGGCGCAGCGTACGGTGGACTGCCGCACCACGTCGCAAGTGGACACCCTGCTGTGTATTCGTTGCTAAAGCCAAAGTCTGCCAACTGGAGATGAATACAGTTGTTGATATTTTATGATAATGTAGATAATTTATTTGTTGCATTGTTAATACCAAATAAACGCACAAAAAAGAAGTGTTCCAAAACACTGTAGCCCATGGGAGACCACGCTGAAAGAAGACTACACGAAAACGATAACTCGCCCAATGCTGTAATTTTTAAATGCGATGCCGTGAAGATCAAATCAGGTCCGATTAATAATATCAATTAACTTGCTACACATTTTTTTTTTGTAATCAGTCTTTAATCTTCTGCTTGGTTCAGTCATGTGGAAAGACTGGATGAATCTCGATGTACCTAAAAATTCAACCAAATTAAAAATATTCTTAAGACCAGAAGAAAAGTACTCAAAATAAACTAGAATTAATTGTAAAAACTAATAATATGAAACAGGGTCATATTAAATGGAAGGCTGTCGTCTCTACCTAACCCAATAACAAGTGTCGTGAAGTGTACGATACGTACACATAACAAGAACCGAAAAAGGTACGTAGCTCCCTCTTGAGTATTTCATTAATATTTCATTCCATTAAGAACATTTGTCTGTGTTCTACTTACTTTAATATTCATACTGCTATCGAGCAACAAGTTTTCCGCTTTTAAATCTCTGTGCACGACGCCTCTGGAGTGACAGTAGCCGACCGCGGAGACCATTTGCGCAAACGCACGCGCTGCTTCGGACTCAGGCATGCGCCCTCGGGAGACTAGATGGTCTGCAATGAAAAAAGTTAATTAAATAGAAAAATAGTTACACTCAATAAATAAAACCAACTCAGAGCCTTATATAGAGATATATGGAACTATAAGTAGGCAAGAAAATGTAAGCGAGAAAGAGCGCTACGCATGACATGAGATTCTTGATAGGACCAGGGGAATATAAGGTTTGTCCCAGATACTAAGTATCTGATTTGAAGAAAATAGAGGTGAAAATTGCTAAGGATGCGAACAAGGGAACCTTTCAAAGGGGATGTAACTTTTAACAAAAAATTGTATCAGGTGACAACCAGTTCTACTAAGCTGAATAGTTTAAATGCCGAGAGTAAAACTACGAAGATAGTTTAAGACATTAATATATAGACAATACTCGTATAAGTTTTACATAAATATTTTTTATAAAACTTACCAAATATTTCACCGTTAGGAGCGTATTCTGTAACTAAATAAATTGTATGTGTGCTCTCCATGACCTGGAAATCAGAATTACAATATTTAAAATATCGTTTTGAAACAAAAACATAAAAAAGTATTAAGTACATATACGTATATTAATATCGAATTTGTCATTACCATCCCAGTACACATGTCATACACAAATGAATTATCATTAACAACCTACATTTTCGCAACTTATTAAGCAGCCTGAGTTATTATCACTAGTTCAAATGCAATGTCATTAATAATGACTCATTATGTTTCGTGTCGTTAAGTTCATGAGACGTATATTATTTATACATACATAATCCGCATTAAGAAAGGTCGTCAGGTTCAATTCTGTTCCTTGATCCATATGAAACGAGAAAATGAGGGAAAACAAAGCAAAAGTTAGACGATAGTTTGGAGCTACTACTACTGAAATTGGATTTGTATCATCTCCATAGCCGTCGCTACGAAGAGCCGTTCCAATTTTAAGAACTGGTTTTTGGTTCTGACTCCGGAACCGTTCTTATCCGGTTATTAAGTTTTCCTTATTAATCACAGAGAAACGCAACATTAAATAAAAGGAAAATAAATCGTTGTGTTTGGCCTTGTGTTTGTATAATATTTGATAATTTTTAATAGTACTATGCTATTCCCAAAACAAAGAGCGGCAATGTTTGCTTTGTAAATTAGTGTGTCCGCAACTACGATTCAATAATTACTACAACCACTTTTATATAATTTTACAATGTTATCATTGCGCTAAACTTTTTTTATTGCGCTTTGGCTACAAGTCATTATGCTAAAATTACTTTTCCTCGTTATTGAGCTTTGACTACAAGAACATCAGCTTCGAACTGAAATGAAAAAAAGACTTGAACTAAGTTATTAAATTAAGCGGAACCGAGATGAAATTAAATTAACTGTTAAAATAACACAGAAATATCGTTTTCAATGACTAAGACGCAATACAATAAAATCTATGGTTTTTAAATTTACTACAAAAATAGAGCAATATTTATCCGAATAAATCTTAGAGGATGGACAAAAATCCGATAGTCTAAGAAATAAATATATCACAAAAGAAGTATAAAATTCGCAAAATATTAAAAATTCCACAAAAACAAGCTAGTCATAGACAAAAAAGTTCATTAATTTAAACTTTTTTGTTCGTGTTTCCTTTTAAAGGCAAAGATATATACACCATATAGCCAAAGGTAATAATTTAGTTTTTATAGTAAGTTAGTTATTTATTCGGTGAAAGAAACATTATTCACGAAATCTGCAGGAGGTGCGCGCTCAGCAGCAAAACGTTATATAGGTTGAATGAAAATTATGTTAATACACTTTCGATAATGAGATTACACAGGAAGTACATGTGTAATAACTAAGTTAACAGAAGCGTGTATTAAGGCCGGAACACCAAAGAAATCAATAATTAATTTCATTTCACAATTAATTTCTTAAGCCTGGACGCGACTATTTAATGCTGGATATCTAATGGACAAAACGTTTTTTTTTTTAATTTAATTTTTGGATTTATCTTGCAAACTCTTGCATTTTCAATTGTCTTGAAGTAAGATGTAAAAGAAATAATGGGAGTTCGAACTGACGTTAGAAATCCCATTCCAAGCTAACCGGGTTACCCAGAATATAATGTACTCTGGACTCGTAATTTAAACACGCGCAAAATTGTTCGATACGGACATGTCAAAATACATTCATTACAAGCATCATATCTGGACGTAGATTCTTTGCTCGACGCGCGACGTTCACTTAATATTATCTGTAAGTTCGGCGCGTGCGCAATTCAGCAGCAAAACTTCCGTTAGATTGGTGCTTATCCTTAGTAGCGCAGGGCCATTACACCACATTATGCACATTACCACATTATGATATGATTTTAATAGTAATGAAACTGTGACCTGTACTAACTGAAACATATAGATACTTGATTTAACCTGATGATGCAACACATGTCTCAATTTCTTCATAATAACTATCTTTGGAAAGTGATTTCTATTGCCTAAGACATTTGCAATATTAAGGATTCTTCCATAATAACGGCAAGTTGTCCGAAATGAACTTAAGGTCTTTAGCGTCCTGCGTATGTGACTGCACAGCGGCGATAGGTAAGTACCTACGTACATACCCAGCCACGTTTTGAGGACCACCAGTAAACCTACCCAGAGGAGAACCGTGCACGTGAATTAAGTTTCTATATACCTGATATAACCGAACGATGTGTGGGTGCCTCAATTTCTTCATGATGGCAATTTCTCTGAACGTCTTCTTCAAGTTGTCTTCGTCGAGGCGCGACTTGTCGATTATTTTGATTGCTACCTGCAACACGAACAGGAATTACTTAATTGTCTCGTGCTGTTTTATTTCTTTACTTACATTTCAGACAACATGTTAGGTCCACAATTGTGTAAGTAACTATTAGCCTGCTATATACGTACAAGTTTGTAGTTGACAACTAACAACGATTTCGTTCTTTGAGTGAATTTCCACATCGATCAAAATTCTTAGACATCGTCTTCAAGATGCTGTCACTGCTGCCCCACACTCCGCGTACAAGCGAGGTCGCTTTCTTACGTCATACGGCGTCGGAGCCGTCTGCGCGTGCCTACACATTCGGGGCAGCCACAGCAGCACCTTGAAGGCGTTTTTGCGTGGACACGCGGAGCACTGGAATTAGCCTTAGCACAAGACTCGACTAGTACAGAGAAATGTAGAAAGTTTTAATTAGGGTTAGTTGTCGACGGGTAGTTGTCACTTTCGAATAAAGGGAAGGCGATATATTGTTGGCAGAATATTCGAAGTTTGTATAATAAAAGTAGTTTGTTTTAATGGCAGTAATTCCGCGGTTACGACTGAATGTACAACACTAGTCAAACAACTAGTCTAACTTTGTAATGTGAGAGAACGTTTTCTCAACGGAAAGGTTGACGGTTTGAATCCCTGAGGCGTCGTGTGTCTACGGCGTCAATTACTTAGTTACATACATTCTTGAATACAAAGAAAACTTTGTGGTGAAACCATTGAAACCGACCAAAGTTCATGATCCCCACTGTGCCCGCGTGGCGCACTGCGGCCTGAGTCCTCTCCTAAAAGAGAGCCGTTCCAGGTAGTGATACGTAAAACGAATTGATGATTAACTTTTTTTACTAACGTTCGTTTTTTGAATCCTCGCGGTTTCTAAGAATAAAAATCGGAGTCTCCAATATACTCCAATGATAATAATTATTTGTGCTGAACTATTATACAAAAAAGGGTATTTCGCGAGTGTACGAACATCCCTGCAGGAAATTCCTGTATGTAGTAAATCATGTGATGAAATAAATATAAAGTAAATAAATAATCGAGTACTTTAAAATAATACCTCGATATCTTTTGGTCATCGCCGCTCTTGAAGACAAAAGCGATAATAAGTTATCTTCTAAAGATAGCACCGTACACTCAGCACACCCGCGATATCAATTGATTTTCGACAAACTTTTTTAAGCACTTGTATACGTCTCACTACTGGGCACGAGTCCTCTCGAAGGTAGACAAGCACTGGCCAAACGCGTGGCGTGGATTGCACACGTCTTCGAAAACTATTATAAAACTCCAACATCGATGTACTTGGCAAAGTAAACTGCGTATGATTCAGAAAGACTCAGTAATGGGGTCCCCGTTGGGAATCGAGCCCAGGTCTTCCTACCTGGAGTATTTTTTTTAAATTAGAACAATATGGGGAAATCCGAAACTGTAGGAGATACAGAAATACTGTCTTAGGAACCGCAGTCTTTTTTTGTGAAAACAATTTTGGCTTAGTTTATTTTTCGGTCAAGCGTGAGTTTTCCATAAAAATGAAAAGAAATTAATTAATTTTTTTTAGTGCTGATCGAGTCAGTTTCATGTAAGGATCATTTCATTGTATCGGAAGAAAAAAATCGAGACAGCAGAAGTTAGTCAAATTAAATCAAATGTGTTTTTCATACAAAAAAGGTGTGCACGCTCCTCATTGTCAGTTTCCACCAGGTGAAATGGAGGTCATATATATTTTATTCAAAAAGAGTTAAAAAACACACTGTATATGACCTTGATAATAAAGTTCAGTTTACTAGACAAACGTGTCGTCGGTCGGCAGTCAAATTCAATGAAAAAAAGCGTACACACTTCTGACTAATAAGAATAACATTCAAATGAGTTAATTCATCGTTTTTTTTCGTCAGGTCCCCAAAAATCGTACTGTACGTCACTTCATTGCTGAGCGTACGACACATTACGTCGTAAGTTGGATGGTTAGCACTCGTATTCATAAACGTAAGACAATTTATGGAAATCACAATGGCGGCCATTCTGCATATTATATTATTTATTAAGACTAATTCGTTTCATTCAAAACAACATTCAAGGTTTATTGATATTTTTAACACAATACGCTGCCCGCGGCTTCGGCCCGAGTCGTGGTTTGGGGCATCACGTGACTTGGACTGACTTCGTGAACTGGTTTCTTAAATTATTGTAATACGTCACGGGAATTAAAAATCGCCTTCCGGCAATTTTATTAACATTTTGGTAAGTAATATTGCAAAAACGCGAGGTTCAAACCTTCGGCAGTGGGGTGGGTCACGGTCAGGGCATAGCCTTGGTGTTAAACAACGGCAACGTAGTTCAACCACTGGTTCTCGTTGAGTTACAGCGATGAGCACGGACCTCTTATAGGTAGGTATATAACATAACAGTGTTATGGTGTTGCACAGTAACGAAATTGGGTTACACGGAAAGCATTAATTAATAATAGCACATGTCTTTAGAGGGTCAAAAGATAGGCAAGTCTTTTTGTCTACATTCAGACAGAAAATTCCCTTTCGTCAGTCCGCGAAGCGGAGGTCATAGAAAAAAGACAGTCATGACTTGGTAGAATACTAACTACCTCTGTGGCCGAACGGTTACAATGCTGGTGTGCCACGCAGCGGTCCCGGGTTCGATTTCCAGGACAGGAGTAATATTTGTATGGCCTACATTTATTTCTCTTATGAGTTCCTTGTGAGTTTCCCTTACGAGTTTGGACTCTCGCCTGTCTCATGGCCTAATTCTTATTAGGTATTAAGAGTTGATAGCAGTGAGGAACGGACCCGAAAGTCAAAATGCCACTAAAATCGCGGCAGCTTCCAGTTTAAATGCGAAAAACGAGGTGAACTTGGGATCTGCGAGTGCTAATGTTAATTTGACTATCACGCCAGAATTACTTTTAGTTATGATTGAATTTGCAGTACAAATAATATGACGTTGTATAGCTTAACCTACGACTGAGTGAACCTTAACAACAGTTAGACAATACCCGAAGGTCGCACCCTTCGGCTGTTGGTACAGCCGGCACCATTAGCATTCTCTCCCTTGAAATAACGCAGCCCTGACCTAGTCGGCGCTTGAGGCCTCAGGTTCGACCCCGGGTTAGGTAACTTCATTTCGTATGAGTGAGCACCTACACGGGCATTCCCAGACTCTCGGACGCCCAATTAATAACGGTGTTTTCCACTCCAAACTGACACCTATTTCAATCTAAATTTGAACGCAATTTACGTAGCACTCGAATTTAGATTGGATTTGGACGTAAAATACAATGTCGAACAAAGAATATTGACCCAATATATATCTTCAGCTGTGGCTCACTCTACTCTATATAGATAAAATGCTACGCCAATTTTCAATTGCCAACACTTCTTTTTAAATTTTTTTTGTGGAGTTCATTTGTGTGGAGGTTTTGGTACAACTAGGTAGGTATAGCAATATTTGCACAAACAAAAATTGTAATTAGCAACACTTGGCGTAATTGGAATAGTCGGTCTTGATAGTTGCATTATTTAACATCCTGCGTATGGCAAAGATCGCGCTTTTATTATTAATCTCGCGTGAATTGGTTTTATTCTGTGATTTAGTGCGTATTATCCATGTGTTACAGTAGGTTCGTTACATTGCGACCTTTCTGCATAAATCTTTGTCGGCCGACCGGCATTGTTATTCAAAGATGGAGGCGATGAATCGAAGTAGAAGGTATGGAAGGAAAGGATTCGGGTGGCAAATTAATAAATCTGACTTAAGGTTAAGAACACGCTTAATGTAATAGGAAAAACATAAATGAAACATACCTACACAAAATTAACAATGGAAACTACAATAAAAATCTGAAGCATTTCGCCACATAGCCGCTGACTAAATTAATTATTTTCCGCGATATCAACTCTCACCGCAGCGATCAGCCGCTTGCCATGAGTATAAAATTTAAAATATCAAAAATGTTCAATCGTAGTCGTCGTTTAAATCAGAGATGCCGAAATGAGGTTGCCATTTAAAATGCTAAATTTTTAAATTGTTTTTTGAGATTGGCGGAGAGCACGTTAAAAAAATTAAACTGCCCATGTGTATCGTCCCTTATCACAGTGGCGGAGTGTAACTCACAATTTTGACGAAAGTGAATTGTTTAATTACAGCGTGGAAGACGAAATAAGTTTTTCCGTGGGTATTGTACGTGACGACCATTCGTGAGAAAGGTCTCGATAGGGCCACCAGCAGCGCTGCACCACTAAAATCCCAGAAAGCTCGCGAGTCACAGAATCGACACCAATGGTTTACTGGAAATCACCAGCAATCGCTAGTTTAATTAACTTTCGCAAGTATCTCGGTAAAGAAACCTTTTAAATAATATCGTGACAAACAAACAAACAAGAAAGTTTGCAATTACCTGAAACCTGTGAAATAAAACAATAGAAAGGGGACTTGGGAAACCTAGTAAAGCGTTGTGACAGGCAGTGGAACTTAAATTGATTTAGACCATTTTTGTTAGGTTTTAGACAACGACATTTTCTTTTTTCTAATTGATAATTTATGAACTCATAACGTAAATGTCATCGTAAAATCAATAACAAAATAGACACTCTGTTGTTGCTCTGTTGAGACTTTTCTTCCATCCTCTAAGTCTAAGATTGAGACTCAATTGCCTCAACTGCCATCGACTGACACTGGCGATGATCGCCATAGTTTTTATATTACTCATAAAAAAACTGACACTGGCACGAGCCTAGTAGCCGCCATAGTAGAGATTAATATTATCATAATACTTATTAACAGCAAGCATACAAATTTTCTACACCACGGACTTTATAAATAATTTTTTCTCTATCGGTCGTTATATCGGTGTCGGTGAATAATAACTTTAATTATTAAAAAAGAAGCTAAGGTTTTTTTTATAAAATATAGGTAAGTGAGCTTTTGACCTCCATCTCACTTGGTGGAAAGTGACGATGAGGAAGACGATGGAGTATGCACACCTAAATAATGCCTATTCACTC